AGAGTAATTCTGTGATTGCTGCATTCACACATTGTCTTCAATCTTTATTTTGCTCATTATTCTTTTTGGGAGTTATTGACGCATCATATTAATTGTTTTATTGTCACTATAAGAGCAGGATCGCAGTAAGCTGGCGAGGTTTGGGAGTATTTATGCGTTCAGATCAAATACAGCTCAGACTTTGCAGAGGAAGCAGACTTTCAGACACACAGAGATTTAGTCTGTGATGCATTTTTTTTTTGCTGACTTAAAATATGACAACCTTACAAAAGCAACAAAATGTTAGAAACAGCGTTTTAAGCGTTTAAGTGCTATTAATATCGAGGTCTATGGTTGGGTATTATTGTTTTATATCAGCGCTGATATGATCAGTTTTGATGCCGATACCAAAATTATACTTTGTTTGTATATCTTATCTTGTCAGGTCTACAAAATGTTAGAACATGATGCCTCAAAATAATTTATTTTATCTGAACAATAGTCAGAAAACTCAGTTATTTGGTTTCTACTGATAGAAAAGCAGCACATCTTTGTATTTGATAAGTTATATTTATATAGTTCATAGTTTATATATAGATTAAATATTTGTTTAACCAGAAGTGGGAAGCTTCTTCTTTGCTTTGTGACCAGCCATCACAGAAATAAATCTTTATCCTTTAAATAGTCTGGATGAGGCTCGGGGTGCTGATGTTTGTTGTTTGTTGTTTGTTTTTTCAGAGCAAGAAACACGCCAACAAAGTGCGGCGTTATCTTTCCATCCAACATGAGAAAGAGCCGGCGCTGAAGAAGTTGAAATCGTCTGACAGTGTGAGTGAAACCTAAACAGCCTCCATCCCCAAAGCCAGCAGTTCAGAAATGTCTCTGATGCTGAGCCCTTTAATCTCCCAGGATGCTCCTTTGCACCACATTCGCCTTCACTCACAGTGACAACGACGGCAGATCTCATCTGAAACCGCTGACGTCGCCGCAGTGTGCACACCGACAGTTACTGACAGAGTGTTCCTGTATATTGTCTGAAGGTGTAGTTTCACTGTCCTGTGTTCTTCTGCTTCCTCATGTGAACAGATCGTAACACACTTCATTAAATATGAATACACATATTTACAGGAAAGCTCTCCAGTTTTATCCTAATGATACTTCACTGTGAAGATGAGCAGGTGTATGTGTTCACTGCGTCTCACAGCTGCTGCAGTTAGAAGCTGTTGGTGAAGCTTTTTTATCACACAACAGATATTCAGGTAGCGCCGTTGTCCCAAATGCAAACTGAGTGCACTGCGTCTCGTTATCTGGAGTTTGGATTCCCCGGACAGAACGCGTACAATATCAGTGAAATATCAGTGAAAACCAGTTTTAGAAACACTGAACAGACCTTTAGTCCTCTGTTAACGGGACAATCGATGCCTCTTGTAGCCATTAATGATGAATGTCGCTGTGTGTCTTTTGTGAGCAGGACTTTAACAACGGGGACACGGACCGGTCGAAGGTGTGTCACGTATGCAACATGACCTTCTCCTCTCTGGTGGTGGCCGAGTCCCACTACCAGGGCAAAGTTCACGCCAAGAACCTGAGGCTGAAAACCATCGGCCCGCAGGCTCCAGGTATTTTAGTTTAATGATTTTATTATTATTTACCTGCAGCTCTAAATCTGTGTATTGCTTTAATCGTATTTCCTGTGTGTGTACATTCATTGTATCTCCTCTTCATCAGTAGCTTCCCAGACACCGCCACCACCAGCTCAGCCGAAGAAGAAACCCGCAGAGGATTCCAGCAGCGTGCCGGCGTCGGGCAACAACAACAACAACAACCCGGACCGCTTCTGCTCCATCTGCCAGGCCTCCTTCAACAACCCGCTCATGGCCCAGCAGCACTATGTCGGCAAGAAGCACCGAAAACAGATGACCAAGCTGAAACTGATGGAGACGTACGGACCCTCCACGGCACCAGGTCGGACCACGAAACCTTCCTGTGGTTGAGTTTGCAGAACCGCCATTTTAAAGCTAATATAATGTAACAATTGGCATCTTCCTTCCTCTTTTGAAGAGCAATTTGATCTGAAGCGGCTCCAACCAGGACTCTGATCTGATATTTCATGGATTTTATTTTGCTTTATATAGCTTTATTTGTTGCTTCAGTAGCCACTAAACACTGCTAACTTCAGGTGCCTTTAGCTAGTTAGTCCGACACCCAACATTTCCCCCGATGCTTCAAACTCTTTGAATAACCATAAAATATGATCCAGTTTCACCAAAATCAGGAGATCGTACCGGCCCAACCCACGTTAAATACTGCGAGAACAGAATTACTTTGAATCTGTAGGTAGAATAGTTGCATAATGTTGCTTTAATGGCTCTACTCAATGAACGTATCACTCCTTGGACGATAAATAATTCATTAATTCTCTCCTTTTCTGTGTGTCAACAGCTTCCACACTAAAGGGCTACCCATGCACCGTCTGCAACATTGAACTAAACTCTGTGGAGCAGTACCAGTCTCATATCAGTGGTGCCAAACATAAGAACCAGTAAGTACAGTGTGGTGTGGTGTGAAACATTTTCATTTCTGTCCTCAGAAAAACAAAAATGTCTTAAAATAATCTTAAAGGTTGTATATTTAAAATTCACTGCCACTGGGTGTCTCACTAGAGCTCCAGCAACTAGAACAGAAACTAAATAAAACTCTTTCCAATAATCACCAACTCTGGTTTGGAAATAAACCTAATCCACCGAATAGATGATAAACAGCAAGTTTCAAGTCGGAGCAGACCTCATCATGAACAAACCACAGAGAGCGCGATACAACACGCAGAGCGGAGAGAGAACACCATGTGACCTGATATAGAGAATATAATGTAACTGATAATCATTAATATTTAAAGTTATATACGAGATTGTGGCTTTTTTTTTTTGTTGTTTTAGAGTGAAGAAATCAGGTCTGAACGCTGCAGAGAACCAAGACTCGGCAGAACAATCGTACGTGGGCGACAACAAGTACACAGCCGCAGACGACCAGTACGCCCAGGGGGACGACCAGTACGGCACCGCAGACGACCAGTACACAGCTGGAGACAACCAGTACGCTCCGGAGGACACGGAGTACTCAGAGGAGTACCAGTTTACTTGAGGCCGGGCTGGGGCGGACTGCAGAATCAGGACTTGGAATGAAACACAACAACCAGCCCCCACTTTAACATCAACCTCCATGGACCTTCAGCTCCCTCAGAGTCTCTTCTCAGTAGGTTTTCCCCTGGAACAGAGGTCCGGATCCCCCGACGGGACTGAGAACGTTACAGAACGTTTGTTTTCTCCTCGAATGAAAAAAGCTGCATTTGTACCCTGCACTCACACCGTGGACAGAAACGTCTCCGAGGGTTCGACTGGCTTCTGTTACGAACACGCGCACTGACTGAAGAACGCTCTCCGTGTCAGACCACATCAGGGCTGATGTGTGTCGATATAATATAAACATGTTCCTCTGTAAAACCCCTTCATCATGTTCCTGAAGAAGCCAAAGCTTTCACGTGGTAAAGGTTACACTGAGACAGACAAAGGTATTATTTAACTGGTAAATACTACACGATTACCTAAATGAGTCCGGCAACACTTGCAGTAACTATGGTTACCTGGCTGAGAGGTTCAAGGTGTGCAGCTCCTTCCTGTCCCATCGATCATATTTACAACTGATCCAAAAATAACCATTCTGTTGATTTGTAAACGTATTTTAGTTGAACGATAGCAGCCAGTATCAAGCTAACTGACTGCACTTAGCACTTCTTGCGACTAGCTTACTTCAAAATAAAAGTCCACTTGCGTTTCGCCACTTAAATGCTTTTACTGTGAAGGAAATGTTCAGTTAGCAGAAACTTAATACAGCATTTTGTATCCAGCAGTTCCCAGGCATCCTGGAAAATCTGGAAATGTAGAGACTAGTTTTCTAGTCATGGAAGCACTTGGAAATCGATTATAATGACAAAAATAATCTAAGTTTGTTTTAGCCCCTCACTCAGATAAAGTCTCACCAGATATGAAGCAGCGATCTTTTTGGTGTCAAGCCTAATTTTTCCGTAGCTTAATTCTCAGGGAAGCCCGGTGGAAATGATGCTCATATCTGCATACACACTTAAATTCTGACTTATTCGGTTTCTGGAAGAGGAATTCTCTTTTAAAATAAAGTAAATTCTACTTAATTTGAACTCGAATTAGAAGTAAACTTTAGTAAACTCATCGGAAAACTCGTCTGTGGTCTGGACCCGAAACACCCTGTGGTGGCTGGCTGTTAGGAAGTTGTCTACGAGCCCAACACACATCTTAAACGTCAGTATCGTAGACGATCACGTTCATTTAAAATCCTTTCTGTGCTACCAGAGTCGGATCTGATACTTGTTCAATCAGTATTTAAGTAAATAGAAATATCTGACACATTGAAATAACAGCAAAGTTTAATACTGAAGCCGGTTCAAAACTATTATATTTATAAACTTAAATTCTTTGTATTATATTAATGAAAGTGAAACGTTCTCGCTGTCGGTTGTACAGCAGCGTTACAGAGAGGAAGTTAAAATAAATAAATAAATGCTATGTGCTAAGCTAGTTTATGTTGAAAAAACAACCACATTATTAAATGTTTAAATTAAAAGATAAAAGCAACATATATATATATATATATATATTAGTCACATCTTAAGTTAGCTAATGTTAGCAAAACGCTAGCTAATTAGCCAGTTAAGCTACATCAGTTGTTAGTTAACTAGTTGACTAATGTTAACTAGCTAGCTAACTTACGTAAACCTTTAGCCAGCTAGCTGATTACTAATGTTAGCAAAACCGAAGCTAGTTAGCTAGCTAACAATTGATGTAGGTTAGCTAGCATTTTGCTAACATTAGCTAACTTAAGATGTGACTATATATATGTTGCTTTTATTCTTCTTCTCCGATGATCTTTGACGAGTACAGAAGAAGTTCAGTTTTTTTAAGTTACTCAGAATTAACATTATTTAGCGACAGCAGGTACGATGTTTGTGAAACTGACGAGAAGCTGCTGCTCTGGACGTTGCTAACGAGAAAAATAAATTACAAGAAGTTAACCATCAAAACGTAGCGATTGAGTGTATTTCACTGAACTCGAAGCGAAGCTGCTTTCCGGTCCGTGTCTCGAGCTCTTCGGTCCACGTGAATATAATTGGTTTGTATCTCCAGTGAATGTATTTATTGAAGAACTTCATTCGACAGGTTTGATTATTTCTGTTGTGAAATCAAACGTTTGCACAACCCGATCCGTCGGAGTAATGTAAGGAAGAAAAACAGTACTTATTTTAATCCTGTTTTATTGTTTTTCTTTATTCTTCTTTTATATTATTTTTATTTAAAGCCAAAATCGCTCCAGGAAGTTGTCCTAGTGGTTTTTCATTGACATGTTTTCTTCTGTTTATCGTAGGAACCAGATTCTGTTTTTAAAGAGAGAGTTCGGGTGTTTTGAAGAGAGTCTTTCTTTTTTTTGGCCGCTAACCGTAGAACGTCTGTTACCCGCCTGTCACTCGAAGTAGCCACGCCCTTAATTGGCCCTTCTTAAGCCCCGCCCCTTTTAGGGCCTTCCTCCTTTAGTGTACTTAGATAACAGTTGGTGTGAATTAGTCTAGATAGCTAGTGTTTTTTCTAACATATATGTCAATTTTATCTTTTAACCATCTTCAAAATGTGGTTTTATTTCCACATAGATTAGCTTAGCATGTAGCATATCTATACAGGACAGGAAAGGAGGAAGTTGACTGAGGCTTGCTCAACTGTTATTGGAGCACAGAGCTAAAAAGGGCGGGGCTTAGGAAGGGTCAATTATCCATAACTTAAAGCCTTAATATAATTTAAAGGGGTGAGTTTCCCCCGTACAGAGACCAAAAGGCTATTTGCTATAAGCTTATTTCTGCTGTGAAGTTGGACATTTTAATATGGGGCTGGGGTGAGATTGACTCACTGCTGGAGCCAACCTCTAGTGGCCGTTAGAGGAACTGTAGGTTTTTGTTACTTCAGTGTTTTCAGACGTTGCAGCCTAGTAGCAATACAGAAGGTTAATTTAGTGCCAAGAAAGGGCTGTCTGGTGGTAAAGCAGTGAAAATAATATAGTCAACTGACTTTAAAAGCTTCCAAACAATGTGAATAATTACCTCCTACAGCCCCACTGCAAAATACCCGAACTTTCCCTTTAATGTTCTCAACAAAAGCTGATTTTAGTATTGTAGGAGACAACCTAACATTTCGATCTTATCGTCGTATTTCTTGTTTCATTTCCAGGATGTCTGCAGGAGTTTCACTGCAGGACACTAAAGAGAGAATGTGAACGCTGGTTTAGAAAACCGTAAAAGAAGGGTTGTTGCCTCAGTTTAGACCCTCTAATGGAACCAGAATCTGTCAACAATAAGCTTTTTGTAGAAGTTGATGTCATTTTATAAAAATAGATCTCAGTCTGGACGGTGTAGGAAGAGATTAAAGGGATTATTATAAGAAATATAAATACTGTCCTCTCATTTCAAATGCAGCAGATCTGCGTCGGCTGTCAGCTAATGAAAGTTTTGGTATTGTTTGCCTGGTTTACTGAAGCGTGAATGATTTTTAAATGCTTCTGAGTTGTCCAGAACGGGGCTTTATAAACTCTAGGAGAGACTTATAGACGAGCTCTGTAATTACTGTCAATAGCAGAGATTACACTATTTACCACAGAGTGATGTCAAACTAGGAAGTGATGTCAATATTAGAATAATAACATGTTTATATTTTAGTTTATTTGTCCTCATACAGGTTGAATATGTTAGTATTGAATGTCTTCAACCGTCTGGCGACAGGAAAGAGGTTGTTTTGTTGTTTTTTTGGATGTAATTTATACAAAGAGGGCTCATACATATTGTATAGGACGTGTATAAAAGACGAATGGCCTTTTTTGTTTTCACCCTCATCGTTTGTGTGCTCGATGTTTTGTGATTTCTTTAAGTTGTGTATAACAGGGACGAAATGCAGCAAACGTGCATCAAGTAAAGAAATGTTTTAAGAGAATTTGGTTTCTTTTGATCATTTTATTTCCAGTTTATGCAGATTTAAACACTCACACACCGGCTGCTGCAGTATCACTGTGGTAAATACGGATTATATTACTTATTATCACAAAGTAGCAGCACAGTCAGACTCTGTAGATAAGTTATTAGGTATTACTCAAAAAGTCACTTAAAATTACGATAGCTGCTCGATTAAGAATGATTTTTTGTTAATATACAGAATTAAGTTAGTTTTACTCGATGTAATCAGTTCAAACTATTTGAATTACAACAACACAAACACAGGTTGTCATCCTTTACATTATAAGGACTATAACAAACATTAATGATGGACCCTGGCTCGTTGCTTCATCTGGATTTTCCAACGTAGAACAGTTTTGTTGAGCGTTTTTATCAACAGATAACAAAAGGAAAATGGTGGACTATTGGTGGTAAATATCTCTGAGGTAGTTTAGATCAGTGGTTCCTCAAGGAGGTTCCAGTATTTTAATGTCGCTGTTATTTAACTGACTGGAAGCCCAATGAAAGACTGTATTAGAATGACTCCTCCACACACACACACACAGATATATACAGGGACGGCTGCCCCCCTATCATTTACAGTAAAGATAAAAAACTATTATTAAAAACCTTAGAACATTTTGGTGTAACCTAGAGCAGCAGCAGCACCAAATAGTGACAGAAAAAACCAAAACCAAAAACACACAAAACACATAAAACAAATGCAACAAAAAATGCTGCAATCACAGAAACAAAACAAGCAAAAACGTGCAAAGACAAATGCTGCAAATACCAAAAACACACAAAACCCAAAACAACCTCCTTTGAACCTTTTGGGGTTCCTCCGCAGTGGTGAGGAACCCCAAAAGGTTCATCGAGGCTCTTTTAACCACTTTTAAGATTGTAGCAACAGAAAGCATTTCATCATTTAACGGCAACCATGCCTGCTTTGACAGCCTGCTATTGATGGAAGGGAAGGGCAGGGCCCTTTGTCCTCTCAGCAGCAAACAAATACTTGTTAAATTACCAGTCCCTGGCCTGAATGTTTAATCTCATATTGTTTAAAAAACCAATTAAATATGTCGCACCAGCATGATCTACATTGCTAGAATAAGTGTGAAAAGCTGTACCCACATCTATCACACCAGAGGACAAACTGATGCAACAGTAATGCATGTCTTAAGGCCCTAACATGTCTTTGTAGGGCCTTAAACTGAAATTAATTTATAATCTAGTACTGACACAACAGCGCTTTTTACCAGAGAAGCATTAAAGAAAATGTGCTGGCACTGAAAGACAGATTTATTCATTTCAGGCCTTCCTAAATAATTTAGTTTGAGTTTTAATGTTTTAACAAGCCAAAAACATGAAGCTACAAGAAAGCCCAAAAGTAACTGTATTCCAGCCCGCAGGTTGCCTTCACTCAGATTAATGGTTTCGTTTCATTTGGAAGAATGTGGAATTAAACTCATTGTGATTTTCCAGTTGTTGCTTCCGCCTCTTTCTGCTCTACAAGGTGAGGTTTGTTGTGCCTATTCAGGTCTGGCTGGATTAGTGACACACTTTTGGTGAAGCGCGAGTGCATAGGACTTTTATCTGTGGATCAGGAGGGCTCCGACTTTAATGCTGCTCTTCAGGCCCATCAATAACTATACATCAAGAGTTCAGCTGTTAAATTTTAAACCTTTTCACATCACATGTAACCGATGGA